CCTGACATGAGTATCGGCCATACCCCCCTGATGGCGGCCCTGCGTCTTGCAGTTCAATGTCTGGTCTCTGCCGCCCAGTGGTTCTCTCAGGTCCACTGTCTCCCCAGCTTTGAATCCAGAGGTGGCCTGAGCTGTTACCATATGAAAATATGAGCCATATTTGCATTGATGCTCAATGTATTAATGAATAACTTGATCTTATTTATTAGAGTACCAGAAGAAAAATATGGTTTCAGAATTTGTTACATCCCAGCAAAAAAGTAAAAAAAAATGTATTATCTGAAAGTTGGAATATGATGAGTTGTTTGTTCAGACTTGCTAATAGAGTAGCTAAAATCCTGATACTGAATATGTTTATTTTCACTTTCTCCAAGGATCTGGAGCATTTCATGCTTTCAGCCCCCTGCTGAGGGCATAATCTAGTTCAATTACAGGAACTGCTCATGACATTGATCCAATTTAAGCCAAATCTAACACCTTTTCCAGGTACATCAATATCTAGTTCTCAATATCCAAAGATCAAAATTTTCTACTCCCACAATCATAATTGTGAGCTAAGGCATACATACACTATACACACATTAATATTGTATATTACAATTAACACATACTGTGTCACTGAAATTGCCTAAAAACAGCAGAAAATCAGAGGGAATGCAGCATTGGTTAAAAAAAAATGACACTTGAAACACAACTTGACTTGGCGTGACAAAGGAATTTAAATTAGGAAGCAGATGTGTCTCCGTCAAAACGATTCCGAATGGTGACGCTAACATGAAATTCAAATAGTGCCTACCTTTCTTATCCATTATTTATCTGGACATATTTGTAGACCTGGACAAGCAAAACAAAATACAGTACAAAAAGATCTTCCAATGATACCATTTAGTATTCTTTGTATTAGCAATGTGATGTAAGGATGTATGAACACTTCTTGCTGGAAGCAGCATTCACAAACAGCGATGAATTACAATGGGCATACTGTATTTCAACTGACTGATGGCTGTACATTTGCACATGCAAACTTATTTTGGATTTAAAAAATTTGAAGTGCACAATTGCGTTTGCATATTCATTTCTTGTATTTTGCACAGTCAATACCAATGTAAGTCTGCCTCATTTCTATCCTCCATTCCCTCACAGATTATACATTTTACTGCACAGTGACTATTTCATTATCCAGCTTCTACAAGAAGTCACATCTATACAATTAAGTGTAAATGGTCTGAACCAATCCCATTACTTGGTAGGCAGATAGAGTGATCATGATAAACAAGGGCAGAACTAGAGGACAACAGGGCTTTTTGCAAGTCCTAGAGCCATATACTGTACACTATTTCACAACAGTCAGTTTTTCTACCACTTCACAAGGTGTTCTAGTTATTACACTGGCAATGCCTAACAGCAATTAGGCAGTAACACAACAAAACTAATATATATGTATGGCAATCTCGTGTCTGTATGACAATTTTGAGTCTTCATGTCATTCACATGTCTGCATGATAAGTATGTAACACATATCTTTATTTGTTATACCGAACTCGCAGTTTTCCATTTTTGTTTTTCAAACTGTTTAAACTGTCTTTGAACCTGTAGCACCCCACATAGCAGCAAATCATCTTAAGCCTTAGAGTCTGTCTGGGCCTACTGTATATTTTCCACTGGTGGGAGGATTTATCCACTCCAGCACTATTACTCCAGCTCCTCATTCCAGGGAACACACAGTTATTTAGTTATGAGGGGCCCCTTTCTGTGGTTCCAGGCCAAGTCCTTCAGAGGTTCTGTCGAACATCTAGACCCAAAAGTCATTAGGGTCTGGTCAGGGCATGTGGTTTGACCAGGAAACCAATCTCACCACTGCCAAGTCGGCCAACCCACATTCATCAGGCCACCACCTGATTCTTGTCCAAGCTGGTCTCATGTCTTTGCTCCCCAGGTATAGGGTTACCTCAGTTCCATAGCAATAAAGAGACTCAGTTCATTTCTATCTTTAACCTTTTACTGCATGGGAAGTTGCAATATGTATTTAATAGGCAAACATCATTTTATCTTCCATTGCTGTCCAAGTTCAACTCCCTTGCCCACCAAGAGGGATTTCTTGTGTTAGGTAACTTCTAAATAACCTGGTAACAATAATCAAGCTTTCAATTACCTAGATAAAGTAAAGAGAGGGGCTTTTAATTGATGCTCATGAACTAGAAAAGGCAACCATATTTCTCATAAAATCATCTCATATTTATTGATTCCAGCAACATTAAAAGATAAACTATAACAAAAATGCATAACAGTTAGGGTATAAAAGGACAGAACACAGAGTGCATACATAACCTGCCCAGGACCTATATAACATACTGTATGTGTTCATAGTGTTACCCAGCAAGTTGTTTCTTCACAAATATACATGTTCCAAAATATTGGAGATATAGTTCAGTGAGGGTCCTAATTCTCAACGCGTTTCACATTAAAGCTTCCTCAGAAGAGGGAGGGTTTTAACTGAAAAGGAGTTTGTAGAAAAATAAGAAAAACATACAAACCAAAAAATATATTTCAAGATGGTACCCTTAATGCAAAGCCAAATACATAATACAGGTGTGCTTCAAAAAATAAATAGATAGACCTGAGTGCGGATGAGGACCCAAGACAGTAGTGGGGGGACGGCCAGGGGGTATATACAAGGAGTGCCTGGGAGGCTGATGGACGAGCTGATACAGTAAATCTGAAATGAAGCCAATATTGGCAAATAGGATATTAATCCACTGGTAATTAAATGGTTAGTGAAAAATACAAGGTACATAAAGAAAAGGTGTTGTGTGAGAAATATATAGGCTGGCATTGCTGGCCTTCTCCTGAACATGCTAATAGTCTCTGGCTTTAATACTTCCTATCACTGAGCTTGAACCAGCATGCAGATTGACCAAGCCATAGTGGTCTACATACTTGTTCAATACCAATGACTCAAATTACCAAAGCCATTAAATCAGTATTATAACCAGGCAACTAGCATTTTTGAAGGGGAGGTCAGCAATAGCGCTCCCATACTTACTAAGTACAGGTTTCTTTTTATTAAGCATTTTGAAAGTAAAGGTTCTGCATAACAGCAAGCACCATAAAGTGCCTTCTAGTACATTTGTTAGCCCAAAACATCTCTTCTCTTCTGTATGCTCCACCAATCCTAGTTTACTTACTTCTCTGACTTCTGAGCTACCCTTTCACTAGTGAAAACAAGATCAGACCACTATCCTGAAGAGGCTTTTTGGCTATTGAAGAAAACAACAGGTCTGCTCTTAGCAAGGACATTTAAATGTTTGAAGCTGAACTCCAGTTAAAATATTATATACATATATATATATATAAAAAAATATGTATATATATAAAAATATATATACATATATATATTTATTTACATTGGTTCAGCTTGACCCAATGTGAGTATACATTTTTTTTTTACCTGGTGGGGCCATGGGGATCCTGTAAAACACAGTAGTAGGTGGAGCTACTGTGAGATTCACCCTTTCTATTTTTCCTGGTGACCCTTATCACTAAAAAGTAAAGTATAAGAGAATACCAAAGTACGTGTTGTCATCTTCCAATGGTGACACTAGTTCTGGTGATCCTGCTGACCATCAGGGATTTCCCTCTCTTTGGAGGGATTTCCTCGCACTTCCTGTTATGACTATTGGACAGGAAGTGAAATTAAATCACAGATGGCTAACAAAAGCTGACAGCAGTTATAACTCACCCTTGCGTTATTCAAAAAAAAAATGGCTTCAGTTCTACTTTAAAGAAGTCCAGTTACAGAAAAAAACGTACCCTTGCAGCGGGGCTCCCCCTGTACTGCATGGATTGAGTGCTCATTTTGTCTAAGGGGCTCAAATAAAGCTGTTTTACTCACCTGATCCTAAGTCCCATGGCAGCCGGTACCCACCTCTCTCCTCCTCCATTCCAGGCTACAGAATGTCCTTGGACATCCTCACGTCTAATGCAGGTCAATTGACCCGCCTAAGACATGATGGCATTGGTGTTCTTAGACCTCCAGAGCCCATGAGCGAAAAGGCTGCTGGGACCAGTCCAGCGGGACCAAGGCTCAGGTGAATAAATCTGCTTTATTTTAGCCCCCTAGGCAAAACAAGCACTTAACCATTGCAGGGCAGGGGTAGCCCCACTGCAAGGGGAAGTTTTTGAGTTTTTCTTTAAGGAAATGTATACATAAGATAAAAGATGATACGCAAGCAAATTATATTTTATTAATACATGTAGTTGGGTGTTATGGAAATTTTC